AAGGTGTGTACTGGGAACCTCCCCCAGCAAGGCTCACACCTGATAGCCAGATGATGCAAGAACGCTATGCTCCCGGGGATGCGCGCGCAGCCTGCGTACTGCGCATGCGCCCACGCCGCATGACCCGCGCATGCGCACCTGCACCTCGGGCACCAGGTGTTCTACCGAGCTGAAGGGGAACCCGTGCCCTGCGCCGTGCCCGTGGTCCCCGAGTAGAGGTAACATCCCCTGTCTCCTGACATCGTCCGAAACTAACGAAATTCGGATTTCGTCCAAATCCGAAACCCGAACCGAATTTAATTTTTCTGCAGCTTACATGTCTACTGTCACCACGAAAAACAAGGCAGAAACTGACCACAGGGGTTTTCGGGATGGGCAGGATTGGCAGAATAAGTATTTCCTATGATGGAACATAAATTGTGCTGCGGGGTTTCTATTTTTCTGGCCTCTGCATGTGCATTGTACGGAGACGAGGTAGAATAATGGAATGTGGTCGCACAGCATGATGTTCTGTCACCATTTTTGTTCTCATGAGATTGTCTGTCTGTGTTTTGCAGAGATTGTATAAATCCGGAGATCAGGAATCTCGGCACCGGTGCACATTACCTCCAGACCACCCTGACTTCATACGGGCTCGAATCAACGCATCGCAGATAAGTGACGTACGTATCGGGCCATTTTCATTGTGACCAGGATCCTGTGTGTGTGTCTGTGACCTGATGACCATTCAGTGCCGATCACACAGTCTCCTCCCTTCCGCTCCAGTGCTGGCCATAGAACATTTTCTAGACATTTTTACCCCCTTACCCTTGGACCAAGGCGACCTTCATACGTTGTCTGTACACTTTACATCATTTACACTAAACATAATAAGTACAAATTAAATCTGACATTTGCCCTATGTTTATGTAGGAGGTTATAAGGGGAATACCTCCACCCATACCCACTGACCCTCCTAGTAGACCCTGTGAATGAGCAGGATGAATTTGCCGCAGGCTAAAATTTCCAAGAAATTAGCATCAGATTTCTCCAAGCTGCTTACGTAGATTTGTTTGACCTCCGCTGGCCTCTTCTCCCCATCCCTGTCGTCCTCACTGCTGCTGTCCAAGCTGCCATGCTGCCAGGGGAAGACATTCCTGGGTGCACACATTCTGGGGCATCCTGCTGCCAAGCAGCGCCACCCAGCTGCCACTCTGCACATCACTGCGCCACCCAGCGGCACTCTGTTGGTCCCCCATTGTACGGGTTGACCAGCGCTGTCCAGGCAGACACGAAGCACTGAACACCCCTGCCTGCAGCACCCCTAAAAATGTTGCGCCCCTGTGGCCCCCTCATGCTACACCCCTGCTGCTGACAATGTTTTAGCAGACAGGAAGAGAGATTAGCTCTCCAACAGTAGCACAGACAGGGGGGTACAGGTGGGGTAGTGTATGCCGGACTGCAGTGTCCGGCATCCCAGCCAGCTCACTGACATCACTGGTTGCTTGGAGCTTGGCGGGATGGAAGCCAGAGCATCCCGCTCAGCTCCTGGAAACTGGTGAGGTCAGTAAGCTGGGCAGGGAGCCGCACAGAGCTCTTAGCAACCTGGGGCACTGTGGTTGTTTCCCTGCTGCCTGTCCCACCATCGGGCCACCCCCAATGAGATCTCGTCTGAGTCAACCGCAGGGACAGCCCTGGGAGATATCATTCAGTTTCTACCCTTGAGATCCCCGCATGACCATCTTAATTGAGCTATCACTCTCCTCTATCTAAATATGTGACACAAATGGGCAATACGTGAATCTGACATTCAGCAAACATTCACTTTTTGTGAATCTTTCAGGTGCATGCTTTTTTTTTTTAAATGACAGCGATTGATTCGGCACAAGTGAAAGTTTGATGAAAGTCACATGCTAGACATGCCTTCCGCTTTTATCCTTTGGTATACTTTAGAGCAGTGGTTCTCAACCTGTTCAACCTCATGACACACATTTGTCCCTGGTCATTAAGTCACGACCCAAATCGCACTGCAAAGGAATGCACAGAATTAGGGCGCACACTACAAAAAATGTTTAAGGTCCACCCAGTTTCCCTTCTTTACGTGAACTGGGGTCCTGTGTGCAGTGGTGTATTTACAAATTCTGCTGCCCTAGGCAAGACAGCAACGCCGCCCTCCCCCCGCCACCTCCCCATCAGCACAAGCCTAACATAGGGCGATCACTCACCGGCAGAGCAGTCAAAGCACCGCCGACCGCTGCCTGGACACCGCCGAAGAAAGCCTGTCTGGATACCGCCGCGGCCACGTTCGCGCAAGCCGCCGTCCTTGTCCCCGCCGGCCGTCCCCGCCGCTACGATGGCCTCCGGTTCTCTCCCCTTCTCTTGACCGCAGCAATTGCCGCCCTCGGGGAATCTGCCGCTAGAGGCAAACGCCTTGTTTGCCTTGCAGGAAATAACCCCCTGCCTGTGTGGGCTTCTGTGCTGTGACGGAGCTCCATCCATACATGCATTGCTTGTACAGCTCCCTTGCACGCCCTGTAGAGGTGTCGGGAGCCAGAATGTGATGTCACTCCGGTCCAGGCACCTCTACAGGACACGTGAGGGAGCTAAAAACCAATGCACGTGTGTATGGAGCTCGCTTGCGGTCATAGCCACCATCTCATCCCACCTCAAGCTGATGCTCAGCGCGGGGCAGCATATTTTGAATGGCTGCTTGGCGTTAGACCTGACAGTGCTGTGCTGGGGGG